GAAATGGGGAAATTTGGATGTGGTGCTCTTGGGAAAACAAATACTAGCAACTTTATTGTTCTAGGATAGCAGTGTATATATCGTATTGGATTTTTCTTTTTAATACATCAAATGATGAGTTATATAATAAAATATAACTCTTTCATTTTTAAATCTTTTTTTATCTATTTCAAGATTTAAATTTGATATTTTCAACATGGAGATTCAAATTCTTATTTAATGGGTTATCCCCTAAGACACAGTCATATTACATGTATTGCCAAGTGGAGGGTTAGATATGTTGAGAATGAAAAGATGCCTTTGATTTAGGAGAAGTGATTACCGTACCTAAAGAGGGAAGAGATGAAGGGCATGTTTGGCAAAGTTTATAAACATATACCATTTTACAAGCACGATGTTCTTTCTAAAATTTGAAATCTAGTAAATAAGTTTTAAGAAAACTACTGAAACAAAAAAAAAAAAGAAAAAAGAAAAAGGCTCAATTGAAAATTAGCTCAAAGATCTTGAGATTGTGGCTTGAATGAGATTTTCGATCGAGTCAAATCAAATTTGGTTTTCCTTTCTTATTTCATTTTTTTTTTTTTTAAAGAATGCCATACTATAATGTTATTTTATGAGTTATTAGCAATCTCAATTTAATTGTATAAAAAATATTGTGTGGTTAGAATCCCCTTCGGATGATTGAAGAGATATCTTGAATATGGAGATATGGTGATTTCTCTACTCAATTAAAATACCAAAAATAAAAAGAGACGAAAAAAAAAGTATATAAAGATACAATGAGAATCTTCAAACGGTTCATATGGTGTGATTAAGAGCTTCCATTTAGAGCTATAAATTAGTCATATTACTCGATTTGAATTCTAGTCAAGCTTAACTTGATTCAAACTTGAATAAAGGGCCAAAAATATTAGGCTCAAAAATATTTTTGACCTTAAGCTTAAGCTCGAGTAGCGGATGAAGGTTGACATTAGTTGAGCTTGAGTATAATAAAAAATTAATTGTAAATTTGATTATATTAATTTTATATTATAACTCTTTTTTTAATTAGTAAATTTTCTTCTATATTATTACTCTTTGCTTCTATATTGCTTCTATATTATCTTTTTTATATATTTCATTGGCACATTAATGAATATATTATTTTTTAAAATTTCTTTTCAATCATCTTCAAATTCAAATATCAATTTAAATATAAGATTCAAATCTAGAATTTCAAATGTTACAATTTTTAAACATTCAATTATCCTTTTATCAATTAATTTAAACTAACTAATAGTAATCATAATTGAGAAGACGACAAGTTTCTACCAAAAATGTAAGTAAAAGAAGCACCTATATTTCTCCGCTTCTCTTTAGCCAAAAGAGAAATTTCGCCGTCCATCGATGTACATGTGTACCTTAATATTGCTGCATATTGATGATGAGAGGCCTCACTGGGGCTATATGAAGGGCCACCAGCAACACGTACTTATTAAAATCTTACTAATATTACACGCATATTGAATACAAACACACGAGATCAGGGAGATATGGAGGGTAAGAAAGTACTGTGTTTTTCTTTGGTTGCAATGGTGGTGGTGGTGCTGCTTCTAGCCACCATCACTCCTACAATTGCGATTCGTTATGAGATTGGGAATGGGATCTTCCCTGCTGCTAACATGAGGAATTACCCACTTCCTTACAGTAATGTTGTTGGTAGCACAACTGACTACGGCTGCATTAATCCTCAATGGCATTTTGGCCCCAACCATTGCTGTGAAGGCTGTAAACGTGAATGCACAAGAATCACAGTAATCAGTGGCGGAGCCACTTGGAGACCAAGGGGCGGTGGCCCCCCCTGGGATTTGAAAAAAAAAATTAATATATATAACTAATTTATTAATTATTACTATTAAAAATTTAAATATTACATTTTTAATTGTTAAAACACAAAATAAAAAAGTTCCAATAATAATGAGTTGTTTTAGGAGTCCAAAGATAATTTATATTATTCATTATCTATTTTAACAATTTAATTACTTATTATTTAAATAACCCATTCCAAGACCCACAATTATTTATAGAACCTTTAGGAAAAAAAAAACATGGTGAAGCATTTAAAGATAATATAACATATTAAATTTTCTAGAATTTGTTTAAATTCTACGTTTTAAAAGAAAATATTGAGGGTAACAGATATATGTTTTTTTATTTGTAAAATATAATGCGTTGATATCTTTTGAGTTTGTTTTTGTTTTACAAGAAATCATGAAAATCATGGATTTGCTTTTTGTCAACTCTATAGTGTAAATCTCAAGATATTTTGAATATATTAAATCTTGTTAAATCAATAAAGGCTCTCATTCAACAATTTAGATAAAGCGGATAAGATTCTTTACTTGAAAAGATAAAATAATTTTGTGATAATAACAATATAAATGTTCTTGATATGTTTGCCACATATGTTACATGGGAAGGACGTGCTCATCATCAATAAGATATTATTATGTTTTTCTAGAATTTATTTGAATTCTACATCTTAAAAGAAAATATTAAAGATAACAAATATATGTTTTTTATTTGCAGGATATAATGCGTTGATATATTTTGAGTTTGTTTTTATTTTACAAGAAATCATAGGGATCACGGGTTTGCTTTGTCAAGCTTTATAGTTCAAGACATTTTGAATGTTAAATCTTGTTAAATCAACAAAGGCTCTCATTCAACAATTTAGATAAAGTGGATGAGATTCTTTATTTGAAAAGATAAAATTATTTTGTGATAATAACAATATAAATGTTCCTAACATGTTTGCCACATATGTTACACAGGGAAGAAGTGCTCATCATCAATAAGATATTACTACTGTTGAGCATCGTTATCGAATAGATATTTTCAATGTTGTAATGCATTCTCAGTTACAAGAATTGAATTGCAAGTTTAAAATAATGCAATGGAACTATTGACTCTTAGTGGTACTTTAGATCCTAAAAATGGGTGCAAGAGTTTCAATATTGATCATATTTGTGAACTTGTAGAAAAATACTATCCTCGAGATTTTTCAAAGATGGAGAAACTTAATTTGAGATTAAAGCTTCAACAGTATGAGATTGAAACAAGTTGTGATCAGGGTTTTTAGAATTTGTCAAATATTTCTGAGTTATATCAATGGCTTGTGGAGATTAGAAAATCAAAGGTCTATAATCTCATTTACAAGTTAATTATTTTGGTACTTACTCTTCTAATTTCTACAGTAACAATAGAAAGAGCATTTTTTGCCTTGAAAATTATGAAAACAAGATTTCGGAACAAAATGGAAGATAAATTCTTTTCAAACTCTTTTATTATTTATATTGAAAAGGAAATAATTTAGACATTTAATGTAAACTTTATTATAGATAGATTTTGTGATATGAAGATTCATCAAGTATTATTTTAATTTATGATATAAAAACAAACTTTTGAAATTATAATATATTATTTTAAAATTTGAAAATCTGGCCCCCTAACTAAAATT